AAGGACTCGCAGGCGGATGTGTCCCAGAAGCTGAGTGAGATTGTGGGGCTGCGCTCCCAGCTGCGGGAGGGCCGGGCCTCGCTGCGGGAGAAGGAGGAGCAGCTGCTCAGCCTGAGGGACTCCTTCGGCAGCAAGCAGGCCAGCCTGGAGCTGGCCGAGGGTGAGCTGCCCACCGCCTGCCTCAAGCCGGCACTGACCCCGGTGGACCCCGCCGAGCCGCAGGATGCTCTGGCCACGTGCGAGAGCGACGAGGCCAAGATGCGCCGGCAGGCGGGGGTGGCCGCCGCCGCCTCCTTAGTCTCCTTGGACGGGGAGGTGGATGCTGGTGGGGAGAGCGGGACCAGGGCCCTGCGGCGGGAGGTGGGGCGGCTGCAGGCCGAGCTAGCGGCTGAGCGGCGAGCTCGGGAGCGCCAGGGGGCGAGCTTCGCCGAGGAGCGCCGTGTGTGGCTGGAGGAGAAGGAGAAGGTCATCGAGTACCAGAAGCAGCTGCAGCTGAGCTATGTGGAGATGTACCAGCGCAACCAGCAGCTGGAGCGGCGGCTGCGTGAACGTGGGGCCGCAGGGGGTGCCAGCACACCCACCCCCCAACATGGCGAGGAGAAGAAAGCCTGGACCCCTTCCCGCCTTGAGCGCATCGAGTCCACAGAAATCTGATCCCTGATCTTGGCATGGGACTTTTGACAAATACCCTGTCAAAGGCCAGAGTCCCCCATGTCCCCTCCCACCATCTCTCCTCCCCGGGTTCCCCATATCCCCAGACCAAAGAGGTTCTCAAAGCAGCTGTGGCCAGGTCCCTTCCCTTCCTGCACTGAGTGCCCTTCTAGCTCTACTACTGCCCCTCTGGGCAACCCACTGGGCCCTCCTCCAAGGAGGGAACAGGGAGAGGGCAGAGCGAGCGGGGACGAGGGGCCCAGGCTCCCTTTGTTGGCCCTCCCTTGTTGGAGATGGAGGTGGCAGGCCTGTAGTGCCATGAGGTGCCCCAGCCCCTCATTGGGTCTGGGCTGCTACTGTTGGCTACTCTGTGTCCAGTAATGTTCTCTGTGCTCACCTCCTAGGCCATGTAACCTGAGGGGGTCTGCTGAAACTGATAGACCTTGGGCTCCTGGCCTCTCTCCTTCTTGCACTATTCTCCCTTCCTGGGCAGATTGGCAGGACAAGTGGGAGCAGATGGCCTGCCTGTGGTTGAGAGGGCTACCTGCCCAGCCCCTCCCCACCACGGTCTCTAGGGTTCAGGCCTCAGAGCCTGGCTTGGTCTGAGTGTGTGTCCATAAGTGTATTGAGGGAGGGAAGGGCTGCAGGCTCAGTGTCCAGGAAAGATTTGCCCTCCTGTTCCTGGAAGGGTCGCCTGGAGGCTTCTAAGCTCTCCCTCCCCACATCCCTCCCTGACCACGACCCAAGGGCAATAGCCTCATCTGCTTGGCCTGCCCACACACAGGGCCACTGTCTGGTTCTAACTACAGCTATTAAGTGCTACCTGCCTCTCAGGCACTCCCCTCACCCGTACTGAGGTCACGAGTGTCTGCGATGTCTTCCCCACTCCATTCCCCCAGCCTCCTTCTGCTTTCAGCTCAGAACATCATTGTCACCTCTTCCCTCAAAACTCACCTTTTCTTCCAGTAGAAATTTCTGCTTGATATCTGGTGCATTCACTGCCCACTTCCAAGCTCCACTGGGCCCAAACCTGAGCCTGAGGCCCTTGTTTTGGGGGGTGGTTGTGATTGCCCTTGAAAGACAAGGCTGACCTTTGGGTCCCCAGGGCCCTGAGGTAGCCCAGGAAAGGCCTGACCTGGCCATCAGTGGGGTTGGGGCACCTAATGTGACTTCCTCCTGTATGGGCCCTCTCAGAGTCCGTCTCCCCAAGGTAGGAAGGGAAAGGCAAATTTCTAATTCACCAGCAATAAAAATTGGAGGAGGCTTGGCCCTTAGCCCTTGTATTTCTCTTTTCACTCTCTTCCTCCCACTCCCAAGACTAGTTTTGGGGACTGGGTGGAGAGAGCTGGCAACTACTGTGAGCAAGTCCTCTAACCCCTGACCAGCCTCCTCCCATGACTGGTGACTGTTTAACAAGCTGTGCAGCCCCCATGAAAACAGGAGTGCCTCTCTGGCCTCTATCTCTTTGCACAGCCCCTTCCTGTGGCCCTCACCAGATCTCTGAACTGGGTTGGGGCGGGGGGGCCATGCTGGCAATCACTGCCTATTCCACTCACCCCTCAGTGGACCTGTCCCAGAATCTGGGCCTGGGCCAGAGGGGCAGGGGGAACAGAAGGCATTAGTAGAAGAAAAAAAGAAAAAAATATTAACAGACTCAGCTTTGGGACTTCCAACCACAAAAGAAATTATATATAAATATATATAAATATATATCTCTACCATATGTGATGGAAAGACTTTGTTTTCTTTTCCCAAAGAAATAAAATGGAGAAAGCCTCTTGAGTGGCATTCTTTGACTTGTTTGTGTCTTTGCAGGTGAGGGGGTGTGGAGGGCAAAGCTGGAGTAAACATTTCCCAGGGGAGGCGTGAGACAAGGTGTTCACTGGGCCATGCATGCCAAGAGGTTGGCTCAAAGTCCAAGCTCCTCCATAGTGCCCAGGAGGAGTCGTAGTCCCACATTTCTGGCCAGTGGGGCATTCTCTTCAGAGTTTCAAGCTGGTTCCAGCTCAAAATCTGGACACCAGGCTGCTGGCCAAAAAGACAGATGATGCAGGATAGCTAGATGCAGCCTGTAGTGGCCTGAGCCACCTTATAGCAATGGGCTGATGTTTGAGGGTAGAATACATATTAATGAGTCTAAGAACCAGTTTGTAATTGGTGGTGAGGGCCAAAAGGCAGAAATGACCCAAGTGTGCTGCAAGAAGAGAGTCGTCCTTTGAGGTTAAGTGATGTCCTTTATGATAATTTTTTCTGGGACTCTTACCAAGCCCCCGCCCCCCAATCAAGAATGTATTAGGTGCCCTGGCAGTATGACTCAGTTGGTTGAGGGTTGTCCCATGCACTGAGAGGTTGCCAGTCGATTCCCAGTCACGGCACATGCCTGGGTTGCAGGTTTGATCTCCAATAGGGGGCGTGCAGGAGGCAGCTTATCGATGTTTCTCTCCCTTCCTCTCTTTCTAAAATCAAAAAATTAAAAAAAAAGAGACTCCATAGTTCAGATTTTTAAAAAAGACTATTATGCTACAAGCAACCCAACCTGATTTACAGGACCTAACACAGTGGCTTATTTATTCTTACCTGACAAGTCTGGTAGGCATTCTGCGTGTCATAGGTGTTGGTTCATCAAGGACTTAGACTGTTTATCCTCTTACTTTCACATTCTTGCTGTGTACACCATGCCACAGGTGGCTGCCACAGCTCCAAGAAGGCATTGAGACAGCACTACTTTATCATGAAATAAAAGCTTTCCCAGAACCCTACTCGCATGTTTTCCTTTAAATTTTGTTTGCCAAGACTTAGTCACATGTTCTTTCCATTTTAAGGGAGGCTGGGACATTGAGTATTTGTCAAAGAACAATAGGATTGCCTTGGCTGCCTCTGAGCAATGTGGTCCATCCCCTGGGGATGGGCCCTCTGCTCTCTCTGAGTTCTGCAGGCAAAGACAGAATCATAATCAACAATTAACTGTGTGCCCTGGTCTGGCCCAAGTGAGAGAACCTCCCTGAGCAGTGGTGTCAGTCGTCTGAGGCCCCAAATGTTCACACCCAGGCAAGCAGTGCCCTCTGCAGAGCTCAGGCGTTGGAATGCCAGGCTTGCCCACCTCTTCCCTTGCAGTGAAGTATCCTGCCTACATTAGTCTTGTCTCCTGGACAAGATGGTGCCCAGGAGGGAGTATTAATTCTCAGGTCTCCTTTCTAGCCCTTAAGATCAGCGGATGAGCCTGGCTGACATGGCTCAGTGGTTGAGCCTGGATCTATGAACCAGGAGGTCACAGTTCCATTCCCAGTCAGGGCACATGCCCAGGTTGCAGGCTCGACCCCCAGTGTGGATCCCCACTGTAGGAGGCAGCCGATCAATGATTCTTTCTCATCATTGATGTTTCTATCTCTCTTTCCCAAATGAATGAATGAATGAGTGGATGAGCAGCCAAGGCACTGACAAGGTATGATGATCCTGACCAGCAGCTCTCTGGTGCCCCAGGAAAGGCTGTCTAGGGCAGGCCCTCCTGAAAGCTCTCGGTGGAGCCTCTTCCTTGCCTAGTTTTGCCCATACCATCTCAAGTATGAGCCCCCTACTTAGGAAGGTGGAGGATCACCCTGGCTCCTCCATCATAGTACTGGCCTCCTCAAGCTCCAGCTCCTCACATCCATTTCTCCATCTACCCATCACTAAATCTTCTCTTGGGAGAACTTTATGATTACATTTCTTTTAAATGTATGATTATCCTCATTATACAGACAAGAAACTAGGCTTAGAGAGTTTATGTGATTTTCCCAAGGCCATAACACCCTGAGGAGTGGTGCACTGGTTCTCAACCTTCTGGCCCTTTAAATACAGTTCCTCATGTTGTGACCCAACCATAAAATTATTTTCGTTGCTACTTCATAATTGTAATCTTGCTACTGTTATGAATCGTAATGTAAATATCTGATATGCAGGATGGTCTTAGGCGACCCCTGTGAAAGGGTCGTTCTACCGCCAAAGGGGTCGCGACCCACAGGTTGAGAACCGCTGAGCGGTCGGGATTCGAATCGAACCTGTGCCTTGGCTATTAAATTACTTCCAGAGTGGTGTGTCTTTGGCTTATCCCGTGGAGCTGGTAGCCAAATTCTTTAGCCCCAGCCAAGTTCTATATCCGGTTCCGCCGCCCCCCCCCCCCCCCGCCCCCGCCCCGACCCCCCTGACCACCAATTCTTCAACATCGTCCTTCAGTGGAAAACGTCCTTGAAAAAAACGCTAAAAGAGTTTTGAGCCTCGGTGGCACCCGTCCTTCGCGCATCATCCGGAAGTAGCGGGCAGTTGGCCGGAAGTGGGGCTGTGCAGGCCAAGTGTACCTGGAGGAGTCGCCGAGTTGCCGCACTCCGCGGGATCTGTGATCTGTAATTGTGGTGTCCGCGCTGGCCGGGCCCAGGTGAGTGGCGGCGGCTGGGTAGAAGGTCGCACTGGCCTCTCCGTGCAAACCTGGTCCGTGGCCCGCCCCTCCTGGCCGGCCCAGGGCCCGCGCGCCAAGGCCGTGCCTCTCTGCACTTCTCCGTCCGTGTGCCGGGCGCTTCTCACAGGCCCGGCTCTAGAGAGAACCTTGGCGACCCCAGCCACTCCGGAGTTCTGTGACCTTGCGAGCGGCTTACCCGAACCTGTATTTCTCAGCTGTGAGCCAGAGAGAATAACAGTACTCGTCTCCCAGACCTGTGGTGAGAGTGTAGCGAGACGCACCTCATCACACGTAGGCATCTTGAAGATTCCGATTTTGTAGGTCGGGTGGGGCCTGGTGAGGCTGATGCTGCTGTTCCTCGGGCCACACTTTGAGCAGTATTTTGCTTAGTACCTGGGATGGGGTGAGTCTTCAATAAATAGCAAACGGTGTTTTGTGGTGCTGTGTTTTTTGTTTTAAGTATCTGTTGCACAAGCCTACCTAAGGATAGCATGGATGCCCCACTCCCTTTCTCTCTCCAGGAGTAAGACAAGTGATTACCTTTTCTCTTCATGTACAAACCCTGACACAGCTCTTCCGCCCTGACTCAGGAAGCTTTGGGCCCTGTCTATGCAGTTAGGTTATGCCGAGGTGATTCTTGATTGCGCACTCGCTGTAGATGCTCGGACGGTGCTCATCCGTGGAGCTGGTCGCCAAGGTCTTTAGCACCAGCGCAGCTCATGTTTTATGCTTGAGTATGTGTTGCTGCTGTAATATGAATGCATGTTTTCCGTTCTTTGAGTAGTTATAACAGCTACCTTTCCAGAACTAGATTCTGCAACTCGCTGCTCTGAATGGCGCTGGGATGAGTGTACTACTGCCTGATAGAACAAAATGAAACCGGATCCGGGGCCTTTGGGCCCGGGGCTGGGAAGGAGACCCCCCCAGACCCGGGGGTGGGTGGCTGCGGACTTGGCCCTTTTCCCAGGGGGGCTGAGGGCCGACTCCACTTTTCCCCTAAAAAACAACAACAAAACAAAACCCTGGAGACTCAGTGCCATCTATAGTACAACTGGGAAAGTGAGGCCTTTGTCAGTTACGCAGGTCTAATTTGTCAGTTTGGCTTTCTTCCCAATTCATTGGCTTACTTTTATTTCTCTTACTTTCGTTTTGGATTTATTTTTCGATTCCCCAGTACGGCCTTGTCATTCATCATGTAAGTCAGTCAACTTTGATATTAAAGAATTTTGAAGTTCCCCCTTCACTTGCCTGAAATACCGTGTTGTGCAGCCTTGCAAATTTAGGAAAACCGATTTAAAATCAAGTGTTTGATGGAGTTAACACTGATAGGTACTTGGACCATTTATTTGGGGATTTGTCCACATAATTGGGTACAGCTACTTCTCTCTCTACTAGTTCCATTCAGATGGGCTGAGAGAACATGAGTTTCTGCTTTTTGTTACAGTGAGATTTTTTAACGACGAGTCTTATGGACCCTTTAAGAGTGGTGACTCTAGCAGAATTATCTGTGGGGCCTTGCCAGACTATATCTACCCAGGCCCTTCTTGTCATTCTGATAGAGAAAAAGTAGAGTTTTAGAAGGGGAGGAGAAGGCTATGAACGCTAAAAGAGTTTCATAGATTATTGTGATGTGCATGGAACCTAGAATGAAGTAGAGGGGATAGGCTGTTAGACTAGATTTTGGTTTACACTAGTGCTTTACCTTCCTGTAAGCTGTGTTCCTGTGTGGAACTAAGCATAGAAGAGTCTAGCCCAGTTAGCATCTGTATTAACAGCTAGGGGTCCATACCGTCAGCCTCTAAACTCTCACCATGGGCTTAAAGCTTTGTAAACCGATCAGGAGACTCCAGCACCTAGAAAAAGTTAGTTGTTTTAATTCTTAGGGTTGCCCAATAAATTATTTGCTAAGGTAAGAATGGGTTTTGAAGTATCCATTTATTTGTGGCAATTTCATCAGGATATAAGAGGTTTAAATCTTTCTAGCAGAAAGATCAGAAATCAGAGTTAAGGGATGAGATCTGATAACTGGTAAATTGAAAATGCTGAGGGTGTTATATACTTAATCTACAGTTAGCATGGCTGCCTTCTTCCTCCTGGCTCTCTCACTTCTGGACTATAGTTTAAAATGAAGCTATTCGGCCTTGCTCAGACCTGTACCTGGAAGGCAGAAAGGTAAGATTCCTTACTCCTATGAAATCACATGATTCAGGGTGATTTGGGCAGTGCTGTTCAGAACAGCCATGCTCCAGGGGTCTCTGAGGTTCCACTCTGGTTAATAACCCCTAAAGCGGAGGTAGGGAGCAGGGTATACTTGGGGCACTTAAACTAGGAAAGGGGCTTTGTGAAATGATGCCACATATCTTTGAATCTTCATAGAGGCATCAGGAGTTATTGGGCATCTCATGGTGTTCTCAGCTTTCTAATGGATTCTCTGGGAGTCCTTAAGTAAGCAGGAACTAACTCAGCTGTGTTTTCTCTACCTGGGTAACACATCCTTACCTCTTTTTCTTCCCACATTTTACTTTGTTGTTCTATATCTAGTATTTCTTTCCTTTTCTGCAGTATTTGAGACCCAACTTCCAAAGTGGTCACATTTCATACCTATATATACTAGAGGCCCCGTGCACGAAATTCATGCATGGGGGGTGGGGAGGGGTCCCCTCAGCCCAGCCTGCACCCTCTCCAATCCGGGACCCCTCGGGGGATGTCCAACTGCCGGTTTAGGCCTATCCCGGGGATCGGGCCTAAATGGGCAGTCGGACATCCCTCTCATAATCCTGGACCGCTGGCTCCTAATCACTCACCTGCCTGCTTGCCTGGTTGCCCCTAACTGCCTCTGCGTGCTGGCCTGGTCACCCCTAACTGCTTCCCCTGCTGGCCTGGTCGCCCCTAACTGCCCCCCCTGCTGGCCTGGTCTCCCCTAACTGCCCCCCCTGCTGGCCTGGTCGCCCCACATAGCCTGCTTGTTCAGTCGTTTGGTTGTTCCTCACTAACCCCCCCTGCCGGCCTGGTCATTGGCAGCCATCTTGTGAGGGCGTGAGGGTTAATTTGCATATTATCTCTATTATATAGGATGGTGTCTAGGCACTTAACACTAAAAGTTCTGTGATGAAAAAGTAAGTAGCTACTGTTTGTTTGTTATTTGCAGTTTGGCTCTGCATGCCTCTAAGATTATTTTGTTATCATTTCTGCCCATTCTGTGGGCATCCATAGAGAAGTTCTAAAGACAATAAAAAGTGCTTGCACTGGGAATAACTTTTCAACATTTTCCTTGAATATTAAGGTTACTTTCTCTGTTCACTGATTGTCTTCTTGATTAATAATACCTTAATCTTCTGTTAGCACATGCATTTTATAAATTTAAATTTTGTCAGTTATACATGGATATAGTTTACACAGTCAAATAATTCAATAGAATTTATAACACTAAATAGTAATTTCCTCTTTCTCTCCCTTTATTTTTGTTTCCTAGAGGCACTTTAAACTATGTGTCTGTTTCTTTTAGCATTTATCAGTATATTTCTGAATAACATATTTGTGTTGCTTTTTTTTTATTTCTAGGAGATCAAATCAATAGCTATAAAAATCTCTTTACTTCTTTATTGAGGCTCTAGGTCTCTTGTATCACTGCCCACTTTCCCTAATCATCTTCACCTCCCTTTATCTTCTGAATATAGTTTGCTCATATTTCTTTTAAAATATATTTTTATTGATTTCACAGCGGAAGGGAGAGGAGAGATCGAAACATCAATGATGAGAGAGGATCACTGATTGGCTGCCTCCTGCACGCCCCCCACTGGGGACTGAGCTTGAAATCTGCACATGTGCCCTTGGCCGGAATTGAACCTGGGACCCTTCAGTCCATAGGCTGACACTCTATCCACTGAGCCAAACCAGCCAGGGCTAGTTTGCCCATATTTTTAAAAATATTTATTGATTTGAGAGAGAGAGAGAGAGAAATTGATTTGTTCCACTTATTTCTACATTCATTGGTTTATTCTTTTGTTTGTTTTTTGTTAATCCTCACCCGAGGATATTTTTTCCATTGACTTTTTTTTTTTTTTAAATGTATTTTATTGATTTTTTACAGAGAGGAAGGGAGAGAGATAGAGAGTTAGAAACATCGATGAGAGAGAAACATCGATCAGCTGCCTCCTGCACATCTCCCACTGGGGATGTGCCTGCAACCCAGGTACATGCCCTTGACCGGAATCAAACCTGGGACCTTTCAGTCCGCAGGCCGACGCTCTATCCACTGAGCCAAACCGGTTTCGGCTCCATTGACTTTTTCTTTTAAATATTTTTATTGATTTCAGAGAGGAAGGGAGAGGGAGAAGGAGAGAGAGATAGAAAGAAAGATAGAAACATGAATGAGAGAGAACCAGTGATCGGCTACCTCCTGCATGCCCCATACTGGGGATGAGCCTGCAACCCAGGCATGTGCCCTGACCTGGAATCAAACTGTGACCTCCTAGTTCATAGGTTGACACTCAACAACTGAGCCATGCTGGCTGGGCCATTGATTTTTTTTTTTTTAGAGAGAATGGAAAGGGGAGAGGGGGGGAAAGAGAGAAACATCAATGTGAGAGAGACACATTGATTGGTTGCCTCCCTCAAGTGCCTTGACTAGGGCCGGGGATGAAACCTGCAATCCAGGTACATGACCTTGACCAGAAATCAAACCCGTGACCTTTTGGTGCACAGGACAATGCTCCCTGAGCAACACCAGCCAGGGCAATGGTTGATTCTTATATACCCTGACCGGAGATCAAACCAGCAATCAGTTGAATCGGGAAGATGCTCTAACCAACTGAGCTACTTGGCCAGGGCCAGTTTACTCAAAATTTTTAGTTAGGTTGATATTCAAGGTTTATATTAATAAGATTATGTAAATATTATTTACAGTTGAGCAGGGAGTATACTATAACATTTTTTTATCTTGTACAACTTTTTTGTTTTCCTGGAGTTAATTTTTGTTATTGTTAATTGGTTCGGTTTTCTGTCTCCTTACCTCAGATTATCAGTTAGAAGTGTAAATCTGCTTTCCCCGGTAATAACCATCTTCTCCAGCATGAACTGCTTACTCTTTATGTCTGCTCACAGCTCTAGTCCTAGAATCTTTTTTATTTTTAAAACCTCGCCTGAGGATATTTTTCCACTGATTTTTAGAGAGAGTGAAAGAGAGAGGAAAAGACAGAGAGAAATATTGATGTAGTGGTTACCTCCTGCACCCACCTGGACCAGGGCCCGGCCAGGGGAGGAGCCTGCAACTGAGGTACATGCCCTTGACCGGAATCGAACCCAGGACCCTTTAGTCCTCAGGCCAATGCTCTATCCACTGAGCCAAACCGTTAGGGCAGCGGTTCTCAACCTGTGGGTCGCGACCCCTTTGGGGGTCGAATGACCCTTTCACAGGGGTCGCCTAAGACCATCGGAAAACACATATATAATTACATATTGTTTTTGTGATTAATCACTATGCTTTAATTATGTTCAATTTGTAACAATGAAAATACATCCTGCATGTCAGATATTTACATTACGATTCATAACAGTAGCAAAATTACAGTTATGAAGTAGCAACGAAAATAATTTTATGGTTGGGGGTACCACAACATGAGGAACTGTATTAAAGGGTCATGGCATTAGGAAGGTTGAGAACCACTGGGTTAGGGCGTCCTGGAATCTTTTTTCATCTTTATCCTGGGGTTTTCCTTTGCTTCTCTCCTATGCTGAACTCTAAATTCTGGATCGCATATCTCTCTTTCCAACTTTCAGGTCTTCAGATGTGACCTCTTTGCTTTGATACTGGGGGCATGTTGTAAACCCTCACCTTTATATAGATTTCCCTCTTTGAGGTCTTTTCTTTGTTCTTTTTGTGAGTAGTATAATCTAACCATAGTGATAGTTAGGATCCCAGACCATTAAAGGTGGGTGGGGCTTTTGACCTCGTCAGGCTCTAATCCTCTAGCTCTCTGGCATCCTAGAGATTGTTCAGTGTCTTCCCTACTTCCCTGTCTGAAATTTGACTCCTCTCTTGTCTCTCCAGTATACCAGCAGTGTTAGCTTTGGAATGAATCAGACAATCCTTGATGTCAAACCCACTGTGTGCCTTGGCTGTGTAACCTTTGGCAGGTTTCTTAATCTTGTGAAGTCCTCTTTTCCTCATCAACAATAGGGAGATGATAAAACCTACCTTACAGAAATGTTATAAGGATTGGAATCAATGCAGATAAAATAGCTCATAAAATGCTTGGCACAGAGGAAGCCCTAAGAAAAGTGTGGCTCTTTTTTCCATATTGGGACTTTGCTTGCATTTTTAAAAATGAAAAAAGTGCCACATTAATTCAAAACATGGGAGGTACACCAGTCAGACATTGATGTTCTAGGAAATGATTCTAGTTACTTTGAAGACCATGCATAGTAATTTTATTAAGTATTGTTAGGTAGTATTAATTGAAGTAATTTAAATGCACTTTTAAAAAAATATTTTTATTGATTTTTTTACAGAGAGGAAGGGAGAGGGATAGAGAGCTAGAAACATCGATGAGAGAGAAACATCGATCAGCTGCCTCCTGCACACCTCCCACTGGGGATGTGCCCGCAACCAAGGTACATGCACTTGACCGGAATTGAACCTGGGACCCCCCAGTCCGCAGGCCGACGCTCTATCCACTGAGCCAAACCGTCAGGGCTAAATACACTTTTTAAATTATAATTTATAAAGGTATTAGTTAAATTAATCCATATATTCTTCTGTATTATCACTTTTAACCCCCCAAAGTGGGGGAAAAAGTTAATTTAGCAAAGATATAACAAAGTCTCTTCTCACAAAGAAGCAGTGTATTTTAGGTGATGGCACTCATTTGTGTTCTGTTTGTTCCACTGATATTTGTATGTACTTTTTTATGTACTGTGATGTCTGCTACACAGTTATTCTGTAAACCAGCCTCCTCCTTCTGGATGAACATTTGTTTTTTGTGTGGTTTTTTTTTATAGTTTTTTGTTTAGATAGCACAGCTATTTTTGTAAAAAAACATTTTGTCTTTTTTTTTTTTTTAGTTATTTCTTTAGATCTAGTTCCCAAGATGAGATGAAGGACTACAGATATGAATAGTTTATGACTTTAGTTGCACATTGTGTTGGACTAAATTTACATTCCAGGGTCCAAAACAGGTCGTCTTCTTTTTTTTTTTTAATATATTTTTTATTGATTTCAGACAGGAAGGGAGATGGGGAGAGAGATAGAATCATCAATGATAAGAGAGAATCGTTGATTGGCTGCCTCCTACATGCCCCACACTGGAGATCGAGCCCACAACTTGGTCATGTGCCCTGACTGGGAATTGAACCGTGACCTCCTGGTTCACAGGTCAGCAACGCTCAACCACTGAGCCATGCTGGTCGGGCCAAAACAGGTCTTCTTAAAAGCCCTGTTCTGTCAACTGGAGAGTCCCATTACTTGCTCTCTCTTTTGTTTCCACCATGCCTGTGCTGCAGTATTAATTGAGATTCCTAATGACTGTTTTGAGGCATAAATCTTCAATTATCATCTAAATATTAAAGGAAAATATAAAATTTAAGTATAATTTTCCTAATGTTTTCTAATTTTTAAAAAGTTGGCCACCTGCATTTGTAGGAATAAACTTTATGTAAAGGAAAAAATAGTAAATATTTTATGCTTTGCAGGCCATATATTTTCTGCCACAATGGCTCAATTTTGCTCTTATAGAGAAAAAAAGTAGTTATCAACAATAATGAATGGCCCTTGCTATGTTCAGATGATAATACTTTGCTTACAAAAATAGGTGGAGGGCTAGATTTGAGCCATAGTTTGCTGATACCTGGTCTATGGCATCTGAACCCATAGATTGAAACTTGGTGTGCAGAATGGGTCCACAGGCCACAGTAGAGAACCAAATGTATAATGATTTCATGTGAAATAATTCTGCTCTGCTTCACAAAGAAATTGGAAGCACACATTCCTGCCATCCAGAGAAGCCTTTCTAGCTGACTTACCTGAACAAAGCCACTAAACCGCCCTGTGAGCTCTGGAAGGAAGGGGCTGATGGGAGGTGGGCAGGCATTTCAGAAAGTCATTCTGCTTCCATCAGAACCCTCAAGGGATTTTCTGCAACACCGGCCCTATCTGGTCCATATTTTGGCAGCTCAGGGCTCCCTGGATTTTGCTTGTCAGGCTTTGGCATTTCTTAAGTGGAAGGAAAGACAAGCGTTTAGAGAAAGCAAGAGTTGCCCAGCTGGTGTGGCTCAGTGGTTGATTGTCAACCCATGAACCAGGAGGTCATGGTTTGATTCCTGGTCAGGGCATATGCCTGGGTTGAGGGCTTGATCTCCAGGTGGGGTGCAGGAGTCACTGATCAATAATTCTCTCTCATCATTGATGTTTCTGTCTCCCTCTTCCTTCCTCTCTAAAATCAATAAAAATATATTTTGAAAAAGTTTTGTACTTTGGGAATAGGAAGGGTTATTTTGAGTATAATTAATTAAACTTTATACCCAAAACCCTCTTTTTACTTTTGGTATATGCATAGCAGCTTTTACCAACTTTTTTATTCTCTACATGTGTCTTTTATTCATTGATATCACAGAGATGGAATAGGTTGCTCACTTTTGTTCCCAGTTGTTATTTTTTTAATTTTTAAAAACTAATCCTCACCCAAGGATAATTTTCCATTGATTTTTAGAGAGAGTGAAAGGGAAGGAGACAGACAGAAACATCTATGTGATTGGTTGCCTTCCACATGGGCCCCAGTCAGGCCGGGATTAAGCCTGCAACCAAGGTTAGTACCCTTGACCGGAATTGAACCTGGGACCAACCCTTCAGTTTGCAGTCTGACACTCTATCACTAAGCCAAACCAGTTAGGGCTCCAGTTTTCTTTTTGAAAATTAGCTTTTCTTCCTGTTGGAAGTTAGCAGAGCAACTCTCTCTTCTCTGACCATCACTACATTTACCATAAAGGAAGTCTAGAGGTCAGAGGAAGTACAGAAGGAAGTCTGGACTGAGCAGCATTCTGGAGAACTGCCTAATAGTACCCTGGTTTTGAGGTTTTCTTGTGTCTTTATGCAAGTCACAGAGTTTATCCTTGATGTATGCTGTCTTGTGGTTTGGGCATTCACTAGTGTTGTATTTAAGTGGACAGCAAAGTTTTAGCCCATTATGTATAATGTGTAAATGTTGATATTGTGATAGGTGGAAGCCACTTATTCTTCATCTATCCTTTTTTCAGTATCTGGCACCAATTCTGGCCCAGTCATTTGTGATCCATGACTCTTAGGATATGCCGAAGATTTCCAGGCAGTTTCTGTGGAACGCCTTCCTGTCCAGCTCTAATCAAGCACCATATAAACAAGAAATTGCCCGGTCAGACCTGTGAGGACTGTGTTCTGACTGCCAAAACGATCAGTATTGACACCAGAATGGCAGCCACTCTTAAGTTATTAAAACCGTTAGGAAATCGAGTATTTTGCAGTCCTTTTGCCTACAGTGCAACCCAAAGTGTGGCATATTGGAATGTGGGAAGCTACACACGGCACAGGGGACAGGACCCTCCAGAACACAGTAATCTCTGCCATCCTGCCAAAAAAGTTGAGAACATTTGTAGCACCTCCTCTTCTCAGAGGATCCTGACAACCAGCAGTGCCCTCCTAGGTTTGGAATTCAGCAGGGCTTCTGCCTCTAAAGCCAGCACATGGAAACTGGGCTCACCTAGGGCCATGAAAGTTGATGAAGAGGATATAGAAGTTTTTGATTCCTTTGAAGACCCCCGAGTTTTCCTGCAGCTAAGACCAGAGTACCAGCTTCACAGCTATAACAAATCTGAGCCTTGTCAGCCCCTATCTGTTTCAGAAGGTGAACTAATTTTGCACAAAGTCACAGTTTATCAAGATAATCTCCAGCCTAAAATCATTGCCGATTACTTCTGTAAGCTGAGCTCTATGCCTGCAGAACAACATCCTGTTTTGCTGTCTAGTGCCAAATTTGCATTACTCTGCCAGCTGAGTGTGAAAAACATACAGCTCTTTGATACCCTCGATCTGATCAATATTTTAAAAGCATTTGTCAGTTTAGGAATCCCTCACTCCCACGCAATGCTAGATGTGTATGAAACCAGATTTTGCCATAAAGTATGGGATATGAGTCTGGATCAACTACTCATGGTTGCTGATCTCTGGCGATACTTGGGCCGCAGAGTACCTCGGTTTTTAAAAATCTTTTTTAGTTACCTTAATTTGCACTGGAACGACCTATCCTTGTCTCAGCTGATTCACTTGATTTATATTATAGGTGAAAGTCGTCAGGTACCCCAGGACCTAATGCAAAAACTGGAATCATTGATCCTCAAGTATATAGATTTTATCAATATAGAGGAGGCTGGTGCAATCTGTTTGGGTTTCTTTAAATCAAGTAGTGGTCTCTCAGAATTTGTCATGCGGAAAATTGGAGACTTGGTGTGTGCTGATATGCAGCACCTGAGTAGTTATGCCTTGGTAAACATTCTTAAAATGTTCCGTTTCACTCATGTGGATCATGTAAATTTCATGAAGCAATTTGGGCAGATTGCTCCTCAACGAATTCCTTCCCTGGGAGTTCAGGGTGTCATGCACTTGACTCTTGCCTGCTCTGCCTTACGTTTCCTAGATGAAGGGGTAATGAATGCTGTGGCTGCTTCTTTGCCTCCCAGAGTATCATACTGTCGAAGTAAAGATGTTGCCAAGTTTCTGTGGTCATTTGGAACTCTGAATTATAAGCCACCCAATGCAGAAGAGTTTTATTCGAGCCTGATAAATGAGATTCACAGAAAGATGCCTGAGTTCAACCATTACCCAGAACACCTGCTCACTTGCCTGTTGGGCCTGGCATTTTCTGAGTACTTTCCAATTGAGCTCATCAATTTTGCTTTGAGTCCAGGGTTTGTCAGGTTAGCTCGGGAGAGAACTAAGTTTGAACTCACTAAGGAGCTGTATACTCTTGATGGTTCAGTTGGCATTGAGTGTCCAGATTACAGAGGCAACCGTCTTAGTTCTTACCTTCAGCAAGAGGGGTCAGAAATACTGTGGAATGCAGCTAGGAAGGATATGTGCTCAAAACCTGAATTCCTAGAAGCTCTCTTTTTACTTGAGACCATGTTGGGTGGGCCCCAGTACATTAAGCACCATATGATTTTGCCCCATACCCGATCTTCTGACTTAGAGGTCCGGCTTGATGTTAATATGAAGGCATTGCCATTTAACAGAGAAGCCATACCCTCTGAAGATTTACTAGCCAAATTAAGGCTCAAGCATGTGGGAATCAGTCTTACAGATGATTTGATGCATCAGCTACTAAAGGGGAAATCAGGAGGGCATCTCCAGGGGAAAATTGAGTCAGAGACTGGGCAACACCCCATGGAATTAGAGAAGAAGGCAGCCATGCCCTCAGAGGCCTCTCTTTACAATGTGGCAGACGGATTGGGGGCTATGGAGATGGCTGGCCAATGCCCGCCAGCCTGTATGCAGGCCCCACAAGTGAAGCTGGCTATTCAGTTGACAAACAAGAACCAGTATTGCTATGGTTCTAGAGATCTGCTTGGATTGCACAATATGAAGAGGCGGCAGCTGAATCGGCTTGGGTACCGTGTAGTAGAGTTATCCCACTGGGAATGGCTCCCACTACTGAAACGAACTCGCTTTGAAAAGCTGGCGTTCCTCCATGAGAAAGTGTTCACCTCTGCTCTCTGAAGGACCTTTGGGCATTTCTGCGTATAAATGCTGTAGATATACACTGTACTAGGTATTGTGAAATAGTTATAAAAGCCAGAATGTAGGTTTGTAATAAAATTATCTCTTGAGGAGACCCAATTGTGTTCTTGTCTATGGCAGATTGAAGGTAGTATATGTTATTGTGAATTAATTGTAACCTAATTTGTGCAGGTAAATAACAAACATCTTAAAATGTCCTATTTTCAATTTCTCATTTTTCTCTGTTTACCAGCCTTATCTCATAGTTATTTTGAATATTTAGGATAAAAGTATAGTCAGACATTATCTAAAGCCAATTTTTAAAAATTAGTTTTCAGCCCTGGTTGATGTGGCTCAGTTGGTTGAGCATTATTCCATGCACCTAGAGGCCACTGGTTCAATTCCCAATCAGGGCAAGTGCCTGGTTGCCGGCTTGATTCCCAGTAGGGGGTGTTCGGGAGTAAGCCGATTGATGGTTCTCTCTCATTGATGTTTTGCTCTCTCCCTCTCCCTTACCCTCTCTAAAACCAATAAAAACATTTAAATAATAATAATAAATAATAAAAATTGGTTTTTATATACTTTGCTATAAAATAAGAATCTCTCTATATAAAACCCTAATATGCAAATAGACCAAATGGCAGAACAACCTGTCGCTATTATGTGCCCTGACCACGAGGGGGCGCATGTGGAACATGGGCATCAGCAGCAGGCGGCAGAGCGCGGAACATGGTGGGCATTGGCTGTAGCGGGATGATGGAACAGGTGAGTGGGGGTGCCAGACCAAGGCAGGGCACTGGTCGCTGTCATCGGGGTGAGCCTCTGATGGTTACTGAAAATTCTTTGTTCCCGCATGCTGCGGTCCTGCTGGATGCTCACGCCTGCTGCCGACACTGGCCCCACTCTCACCTGCTGCTGGTGCCTGGCGCCAGCCCTGATCGCTTGGCGCTGTCAGCGGGTACGAGTGGCGGCTGCTGGCCCTGATTGCACCTTAGAGCTTCCCCACCTCCCCCTGCTCTTGAGGGGCATTCAGGGCTGGCAGCTGCCTCTTGCACCCGCTGCTGGCGCTGGAGCAGCTACTCGCACCCGATCACCTTCCCCTGCTCCTGAGGGGCAGTCGGGACAGCAGCTGCTGCTCGCATCCGCTGATGGCTCCAGCCCTGCTCGCACCTGCTGCTTGGGCTGGCCCCAATGGCTCTGCGCTGTCAGTGGGTGTGAGCGGGACTGGTACCTCAGCACGTGGGAGCAGTGGTGGCGGGAGCGGGGCTGCCGGCAGACAGGACCGGGGGTTGTAGCGGGAGGGGCCGGGTGGGGGCGCAGAGGATGGGCCAAGACCTGCCCCTGTGCCCACCGCAGCCTTGCGGCCCACAGTTCCTTTCAAGGTGCACGATTTTGTGCACTGGGCCCCTAGTCTTATATAACTTCACTTATATTTCAGGATTTCCCCGCATGCATGTTTTTTTCTTCACACCCTCCAAAATTAAAGTCCTTCTTATTCTTGTTTAGATTTGGTTGGTTGTCCCTAGTTGCTGATTCTTCGTGCTTTAAAAAGCCATTTCAGAATTAGTGAGCTTACTATCTTCCTCTTAGCCCCCTCTTCTGCATTTTGACTTCTTTTTTACCCCTGGAATATTTTCTCCCTAAAATTGAACTTAGAAGAGTAGAATTATATGAGTGCCTGTGGAATCAGAGGTTCTCAAATATGACCAGGCAGAATGTTTTTCATGGCAAGTAGCTCAGATGAGAAGGAAACTTATTACTGCTCTTAACAGAAGCAGTCTAAGGCAGTGGTTGGCAAACTGCGGCTCGAGAGCCACATGCGGCTCTTTGGCCCCTTGAGTGTGGCTCTTCCACAAAATACCACGTGCGGGCGCGCACGTACAGTGCGATTGAAACTTCGTGGCCCATGCGCAGAAGTCGGTATTTTGTGGAAGAGCCACACTCAAGGGGCCAAAGAGCCTCATGTGGCTCGCGAGCCGCAGTTTGCCGACCACTGGTAAGGGGCTTCAGGTTTGGTTGTATTAAAGCCACAGGTTGTATTAGAGCCAATTTATGATTGTATATATGTAACAATACAAGTAACATTTGTAAACATTGGGGAGTCTGTGAGAATTTCTCTTAAAAAGGATCCCTCCCATCATTATCTAGGTCTCCTCTCAAAGATCAATTTTTAGCCCTACCTGGTTTGGCTCAGTGGATAGATTGTCAGTCCTGGGTTCGATTCCAATCAAGAGCACATGCTCACATGCCCGGGTTTTGGGCTCGATCCCCAGTGGGGGATGTGCAGGAGGCAGCCAATCAATGATTCTCTCATCATTTGGTGTTTCTATCTCTCCTCCTTCCCTCTCTGAAATCAATACATATATATATATATATATATATATATTTTTTTTAAGAGGGTTTGGCCCTGGCTGTGTGGGTCAGTTGGAGCATCATCCCATACACTGAAAGGTTGTAGGTTCAATTCCCAGTGTGGGCACATACCCAGGTTGTGGGTTTGATCCCTGGTCAAGGTGTGTGTGGGAGAAAACTGATTGATGTTTCTCACATTGATGTTTCTCTACCTCTCCCTCTCTCTCTCTTAAATCAATGAAAACATATCCTAAATAAAAAGAGGGTTTGTATGTCAGTTGCTGGAGAGAGAACAATTAAGACAAGAACTGAAAAATCACCAATGAATTTGGTAACCAGGATATTACCAATGACCTTAACAATAGTTTGAATTGAATTGTCGGCAGAAACCAGATTGCACACCTGTTGGATGAGAGTTAAGGGCTGGGTTGCAAATGTTGAAGCAATTCCTTGAAAACTTATGAAGAGGAGATGAAAACTTTAGCAGGATTTAGACTAGGACTAGGATTGCTGGATAAAATACAGGTTGCCTAGTTAAATTAAGTTTCAGATAAGCAATGAATAATGTTTTGTGGTAAATTACACATAAAATTGGCCATTTTAAACAAAGTATACAATTCAGTAATATTTTAGTACATTGATATTGTGCAACCAATCATCACTATTTAGTTCCGGAACATTTTCTTCGCCCCAAAAGAAAACTCCATACCCATTAAGCAGTCACTCTACGTTATTCTCTTTCCCCAGACCCTGGCAACTACTAATCTGCTTTCTGTCTATGGATTTACCTATTCTGAATATTTTTTAAAATGGAATTATATAATATGTACCTTTTTTTTTTTTTTGTCTGCCTTCTTTTATGTAGCATAATGTTTTCAAGGTCCATCCATGTTATAGCATATACCAGTTCTTTATTCTTTTCTATGGCTGAATAATTTTCCATTGGGTGGATATACCATATCCATCCGTTGATGGGCACTGGATTGTTTTGGCTATTATAAATAGTGTTGCTGTGAATATTTATGTGCAAGGTTTTGTTTGAACACCTGTTTTCAGTACATTTGGGTATTTTTACCTAGGGGTGAAATTGCTGGGTCATATGTTAATTCTATATTTAACTTTCCTACAGTGGCTGTACCATTTTAAATTCCCAACAGCAGTGTACTAGGGTTACAGTTTTGCTAACACTTGCACTTGCTATTTTCTGTATTTTTAAAAATATTCTGGTAGTTCTGAAGTGGTTTTGATTTGTATTTCCCTGGTGACTAATGGTATTTAGCATCTTTCAATCTTTTTTTAAAAAAATATATATTTTATTGATTTTTTACAGAGAGGAAGGGAGAGGAACATCAATGAGAGAAAAACATCGATCAGCTGCCTCCTGCACACCCCTTATTGGGGATGTGCCCACAACCAAGGTACATGCCCTTGACCAGAATTGAACCTGGGACCCTTCATTCCGCAGGCCGTCGCTCTGTTCACTGAGCCAAACTGGTTAGGGCTCAATCTTTTTTTTTTTTATCCTCACCTAAGGATATGTTTTTATTGATTTTAGAGAGGAAAGAGGAGAGAGAGAGAGAAAAACAAACAAACAAACAAACACCACAGCAATCAGTTGCCTCCCATACATGCCCCAACCAGGGATCTAACCCTCAACCTGGATGAGTACCCTGGGTGGGAGTCAAATCCGAAACCTTTTGGTGTACAGGATGATGCTCCATCCAACAGAGCCATCCAGTCAGGGCAGCATCTTTCAATCTTAACAATATTAAGTCACCAGTCCATAAACACAGAATGTCTTTCCATTTATTTAGGTCATCTTTTTTTTTTTTTTCAGAGAGGAAGGGAGAGGGAGAGAGAGAAACATCAATGATGAGAGAGAATCATTGATTGGCTGCCTCCTGCATGTCCCTCGCTGGGAATTGAGCCCACAACCTGGGCATGTGCTTTGACCAGAATTGAACTGTGACCTCCTGGTTCATAGCTCAATGCTCAACCACTGAGCCACGCTGGCCGGAAATGGTCATCTTTAATTTCTTCCATCAACATTTTATAGTTTTCAGTGTACAAGTCTTACACCTCCTCAGTTAAATTTATTCCTAAAATATTTTATTTTTTGATGCTGTTGTAAATGGGATTGTTTTAATTTCCTTTACAAATTTCTCCTTGTTAATGTATAGAAATACAACTTGATTTACCCTGCACTTTTGCATAATTCTTTTATTAGCACTAATAGTTTTTTGTATGTGTGTTTTCTATATATAGGATTATATCATTTATGGATAGAGATGGTTTTACTTCTTCTGTTCCACTTTGGGTACCCATTTACTTATTTATTTGCCTAGAACTTACAGTATAGAATTGAACAGAATTGGTGAAAGTGGGCATCTTTGTCTTGTTCCTGATCTTAGAGGGAATGCTTTCAGTCTTTCACCATTAAGTTTATTAGCCATGGGGTTTTTTGTTGTTGTTTTTGTTTTAAATATATGTCTTTATTGATTTCAGAGAGGAAGGGAGGAGAGAGAGATAGAAACATCAATGATGAGAGAGAATCATTGATCGGCTGCCTCCTGCACGCCCCCTACTGGGGATCGAGCCTGCAACCCAGGTATGTGCCCTTGGCCGGAATCAAACCTGGGACCCTTCAGTCCGCAGGCTGACGCTCTATCCACTGAGCCAAGCCGAGTAGGGCTAGCTGTGTTGTGTTTTTTTTTTTAAAAAACAAACACACTATGTTTTTATTGATTTTAGAGAGAGAGAGGAAGAGAGAGGGATAGAAAAATGGAAACATCAATCAGCTGCCTCCTATATGTCCCTACTGGGGATTGAGCCTGCAATCTGGGGATGTGCCCTGAGGGAATTGAA